GTCCAAACTCGGTCCTGGAGGGCCGGTGTCCTGCAGAGTTTAGCTCCAACTTGCCTCAACACACCTGACTGGAAGTTTCTATGCCTAATAAGAGCTTGATTAGCTGCTTCAGGTGTGTTTAATTAGGGTTGGAGCTAAACTCTGCAGGACACCGGCCCTCCAGGACCGAGTTTGGACAGCCCTGTTGTAGACATTTCATGTCAATCCATGTTAATTTTTACCGTGATGCGCTTCCTGTCACTAATTCAGCGTGTGCAGCACAGCAAAAATAGACTCGGTTTGGAAACGATCGCTGCGCTCGGAACGCATTGCTGGCCTGCATCGGTGTGCAGAGTGAAGGCTCAACATGGGCACGGGAAAAATATGCACTGCAAATGGAGTATGTGTGAAACGGGCCGTGCGTCGGATAGCGACTATAACGACCTTTTCACATACACATAAAAATCCTACATGATGTAAATAAATAACAGTCATAGTAAATTTAGTTTGTAATTATACATGCTTCTGTGTAGCTTTGTAGTTTAATCAATATTTTTTGTTATGCGATGTTATGTTTAATGCATTCAATATACATTTGGTTTTCCATGGTTAACCTATAGGCTATTTGTGTTCAATCATTAAAAACACACATAATAAACAAGAATAAACAAATCAATTTGTACATTCGTATGTAGCCTATTTTTGTATGCATTGTATGTATTTATTTTTAATATCAGTGCTGTTTAAGACAATGCCTTTAGCGCCATCCGACCATTATAATGTGACAAAAGTAGTTCTAGGAGCTAGCCAGCAGGGTCATTCCTAGAGAACCAATTTCTCCCTCGGGCCGTTTTCCTGGTTGCATTCGCACCGGCAGCAGGAACTCTGAAGTGGCCGACAGCGATGTCTTTTTATAACAGAGATGGAGATGTAAACGCACAATTTATGTGACTGCAAGAGCCAAAAGTTGGGCTAAGAGACAAATTTTTTGATGACAACTTGCAGTGTTACACATTGAAGCTGAGAAAAGAACACAACACTGCAGAAAACAGGTAAATGCCGTTATCGCCGTTTTCCATGTTCATGGAGTAAATATGTTTACATGGCTTTTTAAAAATACACAAGGGGTGGGGAAAATAACAAGCTTTGCTTCATCCCACTCCTTTTTGGACATATTATAATTAATGTTTATAACACTTCATGGATATTGTTTTTCTTCGGTATGTTTAAATTATGTTAATGGTTAATTCGGTATGTTGCAATATTTTTTAATTGTCCGAAATAAAATAAAGAAATTAAATGAAATAAATATATGCACTGCATTCTTTTATAACAAATGACGAAAACTAGAGGGAAAAAAAATAGCAATTAACAAACCAACTGAATGGCTTGAACATTCTTAGGGCTTTGCATCTGCCTAGATACAAGTGTCTTTTCTTTAACTTCCTGATTAAAAGAACAGGAAGTGTAAAAGCTCTTTAAATGTTTCAGTGTCAGAAACAGAGAACTCACTTTCCCCAGTGCTTCTTTGCAGTGCTGGCAGAATGGAACTGATGTAACTGCACTGGGCTAATTCATTTTGGAGAAGGTGTAAGTAGATTATATTGTGTTCATGGAAATTCTGAGTAAGAAATAATGCATTTTTGTTGTTTGAACTTTTTTTGATTCCATGCAGTTAGAAATAGACTAGATAAATCAAATAATTCCAAAAAAGACAAAAAAAAAAAAAAAGAGAAAACAGCTTTAAAACAACTAATATTTCTGTGTATATTACAGTTGCATAATAAATCTAAAGGGGTCTTTATGGGCAAAACCGGTTTTACTTTTCTGGCTGCATGTCTTTCTCACTGTATCACTTCGACTTCGTCACTAATCTAGGCTGTTTTTTCTATCGCTAAGAATGTGTAATCTCTATAGACCTCACATTTCTTACAAGCACAAAGCATCATTATTGTAGAAGTAGAATGTTATAAACATTTGTAAATTAACATCAGGCTCTGAACACTCATAAGACCATTATGTTCAACATTAGGCTAAAAGGTGCGAAGCTTCTGTTGGTGCGAGATCGTGTGGGTTGGTCATGTGCTCATCGTTCCTGAAAGTGGGGGCACTGCAAGATGATTTCCACTCTTTTAAGTTTAATATTTACAAGAACAATTACATATTTGTATTTTAAAGCACTTATGTAAACTGTACCTTAACTTACAGATTCATCTGCTACAATGAATGACAAAAACAGAGAGAAAGACCATTCACAGGTTAACCAGACTGAAGGTCAGCATGCATCTTTCGACAGGTTAGTGTCATAACACGCATTCTTTTCATTTACTTGGAGATAAAAATAAGTATTTTATTATATTGTGTTTAAATTAGCAGAGGTTAAAACATCTACAAAAAACACTTGTTTAAGAATACTGGCTCACATGTTGATGCTAAATTAATTTTCTCGTTTGCAGAAAATGTCAGGACGCCACCCTCATTAATCCAGCAATATATCGCCTGAACACAGCAAGAAAATATATGGATGGGACTAACGGAAAAGTCAGACAGTGGACATATGGAAAAAGAGACAGAGACAAACAGAACAAAGTCGTTCTGATGGTGGGAGAAACTGGCGCTGGGAAAACCACAATGATCAGCACCATGATCAGTTACTTACTGGGAGTGAAGTTTGAAGAAGAACTGTTTTATCAAATCACAGTGGAAGAAGAACAACATAAAGATCAATCAAAATCCCAGACGTCTGAGATCACAGTTTATGAGGAGTTTTTCGAAGAAAACCCATCATCTTTGACCCTCATTGACATTCCAGGTTACGGACATACTGAAGGATACAAGGAAGACAGAGAGACTGCTGATTATCTGAGCAGATTATTCTCAGATAAGGATGGCATTCATTATATTGATGCAGTGTGTTTTGTGATAAAGGCGTCTCAGAAGCGACTCTCTGGAAAAGAGTTTTACATATTTCACTCGGTTCTGTCTCTGTTTGGTAGAGATATAGAGGACAACATGGTGTTTCTACTCACACATTCAGATGGACGACGTCCAACAGATGCTCTTAATGCCATTAACACAGCAGAAATACCCTGCAGAAGAGACGAGAGAGGACGACCTGTTCACTTCTTGTTCAACAACCGACAGAAAGAGGAACGAGATGAAGAGTATAAGCATCTCGACGGATTCGCCTGGGAAATGGGAAACAAAAGCATGAATGAGTTCTTTAGACTACTGGAAGAAAAGAACAGAAAAAGTGTTCAGATGACATTAGATGTTCTGAAAGAGCGAAGACGACTTGAGGCCTGTGTGCCTAATCTGAAGGAGCGAATCTCGGAGGAAGAGTTGAAAACGAAAGAACTGACTGAGATTCAGGAAGCCCTCAGACAGAACAGAGAAAAGATTGAGAAATGTGAAAACTTTAAGTTTACAGTCAACAGACATTTCAAAGATAAAGTCCTCATTAAAAATGTGTTAGTGTGGGACAGAAATGCAACCTGCTGTGACGTGTGTCAGGAAAACTGTCATGAATGGTTCTGCTGGTTTGTAGAAAACCTCTCATTGTGTGAAGTCATGAGAAACAACTACTGCACCATGTGTCCAGGAAAGTGTCATTACAGCAAGCATGTCAAAGAGAACAAAAAATATGAGATAAAGACAAAGACAATAACTATGACATTTGATGAGCTCAAACAGGAGTATGAATGCACTGGTGACCAGCCTGTAACCAGCTTCAACAAAACAACATATGAACAAATGAAAAATGAACATGAAAGAAGCATGAGAGAGTCTGGGAATACAACAACAATAGAAGAAAAACTGAAAGATAATCTGGAACAAATTAAAAAAGAAAAGTCCAAAATGCTGCATGAAGCTTATATGATCATCACGGGGCTGTCTAAGATCGCATTAAAAGCAGACAGCGCTTTCACTCTTCAGCATCTGGAGTTCTTGATTCTCTGACTGAAGGAGGAGGGAAAAGATGAATGAATGAAGAACCTGGAGGATCTGAGGAAAGCTGGAGAAGAGCAGAGAAACAAGGGAGCTTTACGTTTCATGCGTAGTAAAAATGAATAGATTCAACAAATCTGAACATACAAGATGAAAAAGCAGAACAGAAGCTGCTCCATTAGAGAAAATAATTTACATACTGAAGGTTTTGGTGAGATCCATTATCAGGATATTTAATATATTTCATTTACCATTTACAATGACTTGACCATTAACAAATATACTTTTTATAAATATGCATGTATCTCTGCATTACAAAACAGTTTTTTTGTTGCTCTACCTGTACATAAATTGCTTGTGATGTTCCTCATTTGTAAGTCACTTTGGATGAAAGTATCTGCTAAACGATTAAAGGGGGCATAACACACACAGTTTCACCCAATCTCATGTTAATCTTGAGTACCTATAGAGTAGTACTGCATCCTTCATATCTCCAAAAAGTCTTTAGTTTTATCATATTTATAAAAGAAAGATACAGCTTTACGATTCTCTCCGAAAACAGCCGAGCTCCTGGAGGCGTGCTGTAGGCGGAGCTAAAGAGTCACGAGCACTTGAGGGCCGATTGCCAACAAAACAGAGACATTTGATGCCGTTTCACTTACCATCTGCAGTTCTGAATCATGACCGGGATCTTTTATAGCTGGGACTGCTCCATCTTTCAGTATCAAACGATGAGCAAATTCAGCGTCGAACTGGGCCTTGTTTATAAAACGTTCGTCAACAAATACACTTGCGAAACTCTGTTGCTGCCCTGGAAAACAAACTGTATCCGCTGTTCACATAACGCTGGATTCTTCGGGAAGCTGAACAAAGTTATCTTTCCCTTACAACCAAAAACACACTTCTTTGGATTGGAGACATTCTTCCCGAGCAAGTCCCATGCAGCGCTGCCGCTGGATGAAGCGCATTGATGGGCGCGCTCTTGCTCTCGCTCTCGCTCTGGTCGATGTGTTCGCGGGCGCATGAAGAGCCACGATCGAAAAAAACTCTCCGAAACTTGTACGAACCTGGAAGTAAGATTTTTGGCACAGAAATACTCTGTCATACGTCCAAATAGTTTTTTGAAACTTTGTCCATGCTCAGCATGAGAATCTAACTCTTTAACAGTATAAACAACTCTGAATGCATGAAACAGCATTGTACCCCCCCTTTAAACATAATGCAATGTAGTTTTGTGTCCTGTTCCTTTATTGGTTAACCTTGCTTACCATGTGAAATTAATTAAAATAACTTTTCTTCACAATTCTCTCTTGATTCCTCTTTTCAAATCATGGATACGATTTCTCAATTTCTTAAGAAATCAATTTCTGATTTCAAGGTGGAAGTATCACAAGCCTTATATGTAATTATCGTGTTGGCCTACACAAGGTTTTGAGAAATGTAATGTTTAGCATTAGGTGTAGGCAGTCATCTGACTGATAACAGTTAAATGATTTTATTGCTTCTTCTGAAGTGACTAGACATTGATAAAAGCCTAATTGTTTTTAATCAAATCAAATCTATAATGCACACAAACAATTTGTTTTTAGTGTTTCAGAAAGACTAATTGACCTATATCATCTGAGCGCACAGACCAAAGTTAAATGTTGCATTGGCAGTGTTGGGCAGTAACGCATTACTTAGTAACGCGTTACTGTAATTTGATTACTTTTTAGTAACGGAGTAATTTAACGCGTTATAATTTTCTAAATAGTAATTAGAGTATAGTTACAAGCCGAGGTCTCTATACGTTACTGCCGCATTACATTGCTGACAGAATGCAGTGTTTTATAATCTAGAGATTGTAAAAAGGATGTAGCACACGCACTGTCGAGTCCAGTGCCAGTGGATTAGAGATATGTTCCCGCGACACCCGACGCAACAGAGCGCGGCTTGGGACCAGATGGGCGAGTGCTGGTGCAGGCGGGTAGACACTCGTGTGTGTGTGGGATGTGGGAGAATAAAATGATTCACGGACTCCCGCAAAATGGAAATATCTAAACATAAAATATCTAAGACAAATAAATTGTTATTCATCTATTGCACAAAAGCAACATGAACTAATATAATATTTCCTTAAGAGCGCAGAGCGCCTTTCTGAAGATTCCGCTCCGCTCGCTCAACCCAGAATGCCCTTTGGTGATTTGCTTGTTCGAGATCGATAGTCTGTAGAGATCGAGAATAGTAGAGCAGTTATGGAGTTCAGATATTGTTTCAACGAAGTTGCAAGCCTTA